GTAGTGTTCCCAACCCATAAGGGAATGGACTGAATGGGCAAATGCTTAGCTAGCTTCCTTGCCTCTCAGAGGAAACTGCTGAGGTGTGCCCTTCACGGTCTCTCAGAGGGTCCACAGCAAGAATGAGCCGGTTTCCACAATCCACTCAATCATGCACCCTTTGTTGGCTCTCCTTTCTACCCTGTCTCAATTTCTCCTTCCCTCACCTGCTTTCGTAAGATCACCTCCAACTAATGCACCTGCACTCAAATTTCTGTCTCCTGTCTTGCTTTAGGGGGAACCTAAACTGAGACTGTGATCTTCCGAGTTTGGGAGTGCACTTTAGGAGTCAGACACGGGTTTGACCCTGGCTCTCCAATTCACAGAGGGAAATCTTGGCATTTAATCACTTCTCTAAGTTTTTGTTATCTTGTATATAAAAAGAGCTGTAATAATGGTCATATTCTTGTGGGTTGAATAAGATCATGCATACAAAAATTTAATATGGCACTTGGTTATAAATGGTCAATAAACATTGGCTTTTATTACTGGTCTAGAAATGATCAGATTTGTGTTATAGCTTCATCACTTCCTAACTCCTTGCTTTGAGGCAGATAAGTGGGATACACATATGTAGAGAGAATTCTGACGTGATGCACCATGCTCACCCCCTATTTCCCCCCCCAAATCTTCCTCCTGGTGTCAATTTTGGCTTACACTACACTTTGTAGAAATCCAAAGAGGCTTTCTTTGGCATTAAACCTTCAGCTTAGGACATGTGGCTTCTAGCATCTCAGTATTTCTGCTGGGAATTATACCTCAGCTGGAAGACTTTCCTTTCAACTTAACAAAAAATATTTCACTCAATAAATGTTTATAAGCCCTTCCTCATGGTAATGCCTGTTCTCTGTGTTGGGCCACAACTGTGAACAAGATACACAGAGTGCCTGTCTTCATGGAGTTTAAAGTCTGGGGCCAGTCTCATCAATTAGTTCTAAATAATTAATTCAGAATCCATAAAATACTTAAGGGGTTTAACACTCCAGGGGGTGTTGCAGACTTGCTGCGATGATGGCTCATAAAAAAAGCCTGGAGAAAGGGATAGCCTGAACTGAGAACCACTGAAATACCCGAATTGACCTGGCAGACCCAGGAGAAAAGGATTAAAAGTCTCAGGGCGGCCTCCTGGAGCGGATACATATATCACAGGAAGCCAGAAGACCCAGCAGAGGACTGTGTTCCCTCGAGGGCCAGGTGGCACGTTGCTCATCAAGGTCACTGGGAATGCACTGGGAGGGCAATGGTGAGCAGGCACCTGTGTTACCGGGTTTGGTAGTAGACTAGGACTCACAGTAGGAAAGGAGGTTATGCTCGGTGTTGTTGGCAATAGGGATGATGGGTGTTGAAAGTCTCCCCCATCTCAAGCAACAGAGGCTAGGCAGTGGTGCTTCCTCCCTCCTTTGCTTTTCCAGATGTAGGACCTCCACCTGAAGGCTTTCCTCACCCAATCCCAATTCCATCTCCTTTCATTTTTCACAGGCTTTATCCCCACAAAACTGCTTTCACTGCCACCTCTGACTCATGCTGATCTGCTTCCGGGGGGCCTAAGTGACACAATGAGCTTCTAGAAATGTTTTTCATACCTAATTCTAAGTTCTTTATTCTACCACAGCAGCTATTTTTCCTTTCCTGGGTGGTTAAAACAAGAAGGTTTCCCAAAGTTCATCAGTTACCTGCAGCCAAACAACAACAACAACAACAACAACAAACAACAAAAAAACAAACTAATTGTTTTCAGTGTGAAAAAAAGGTTTTAATCAACTTTTTTGGTTGCCCAGGCTGGAGTGCAGAGGCTCAATCTCGGCTCACTGCAACCTCTGCTTCCTGGGTTCAATCGATTCTCCTGTCTCAGCCTCCTGAATAGCTGGGATTACAGGTGCCCACCACCATGCCCAGCTAATTTTTGTATTTTTAGTAGAGATGGGGTTTTGCCATGTTAGCCAGGCTGGTCTTGAACTCCTGACCTCAAGTGATCCTTGGGCCCGGACTCCTAAAGTACTGGGATTACAGGTGTGAGCCACTGTGTCTGGTATAATCAACTTATTTTCAAGGCCTCTGACTACTTCTTGTTGAATCTAAACCAATCTTCTCACACACCTACCTGATTCCACAGCCAACAAGACGGTTGGAAAACAGGGTGCAAGGCTGGGTGCCAAGGCAACACAGCACCAAGGGGAGCACAGTACATCATTTTTCTTTCTTCTCTTTTTTCCACCGCCTTGCTTTTTCTTCCTTTTTATGGCCAAGGTAAGTATGGGATGTGGGTCAAAACAAGTTTAATCTGAATTGTTCATTTTAGCTTAATTTAAAATATTTTCTCATGAACACACCACACAAGCCTCTGTGGAAAGAGGACCCCAGGGCAGCTTGAGGCACTCGTATGTGACTAATTAATGCACAAAGCAGGCAATTAATTCCCTTCATTAGAGCTCTTCCCATCGCTGGGCTTAAAGTGATCTTCCTGTGAACTCCCACATATATTAACTGTTTGTCCAATGACACCTTTCAGCTGTGTGTTGACGGGTGTGGATGTGCCAGCCTCACTAGAATCTGTTATTTGAGGGTAAAATCTATAGTTTATTCATCCTTGCAAACTTCACAGCACTTGTATAGTGCCTTGCACACGGTATATGCCGAACACTTGAGAGCTTCTGAAAGCAGTGCTGGAACAGACAGTACATCTGCTGCAGACAGCAAGCTTGTAAGGGGTGGTCAGTGGTACCCAATGGAGCGGAGCATTTAAAAGAAAAAAAAAAAAAAAGATCACTGTAGTTGATGGCCATGCTGTGCAGCAGAGTGGTAAAGCTGTAAGCCAAATTCTCAGCATCTAATGAATGAGCAATGAGCCAGTAAGTGTAGATACCCTTTCAAGAAGTTTGGAGACATAAGGAAGGAGACATAGCATAACAGCTTGACTGATGGCAGGGTAAAGGCTTTTTTGCTGTTAAAAAGCATTGAATAAGGTCTTGAATAAGACTGTAGACTTAGAAGAAATCAACAGAGATGCTATAAGATGGAAAGGAAATGCTTGAATGTGTAGAACAGGTGGGCAGGTACGGGTCAAGGTCACAAATGAAGAGTCTAACCTTGGAAAGGAGGGAGGGGATACCTATATTTGAAAGTAGGAAGGGTGATGGAGAGAACATCTGCTTGTAGTTCTGAGGGCAGAGCTTCGAGCTAACGCAGAATAGAAAAGTTATGGAAGCAAATATGAGAGTCAATTAAAGTAAGGACTATTGAGTTGAAGAGAAACAGCCATAATTTTGTAGAAGAATCTAATCAGCCTAATACTATGACTTTATGTATCTACACTTAGTAAGTCAGAACCAAAGACAAAATTAATGGTGGTGTTATCAGTTTCCTAGGGCTGCAGTAACAAAGCATCAAAAATGGTGTGGCTTAAAACAGTTCTGAAGGCTACAACTCAGAAATCAAGGTGTCTGCAGGGCCAGGCTTTCTCTGACAGCTCTAGGGGAGAACTGTCCTTACCCCTTCTAACTTCTGGTGTCTGCTGGCAAGCCTTGGTGTTCCTGGGCCTGTACAGTCACATGCTCATCTTCCCTCTGTGAGTCTGGGTGTGCAAATTTCCCCTTTTAAAAAAACACCAAATTGGATCAGGCTGACCCTGATGATCTCATTCTAAATTTGATTACCTCAATAAAAGAACTTATTTCCAACTAAGGTCAGATTCTAAGGGACTGGGGATTAGGGATACAACTTACCTTTCTTAGGGAACACATTTCTGCCCATAACAGATGGGTGCAAGGATGTAGGTTGAAGGCTGGTAAGTGAGCCTGGATAAAGGGAGTGAGAGAAAACCAAGATGCTAATGAGAACATCAGGGGGATGGCTGACCATGGGGCCCACACTGGAAGAGCAGCACATTCTGGAGGCCAAGAGTTGGGGTGATGGGGTAAAGGCTAAGGGTTAGCAGGCGGGAAATTACAGGGCAAGCTGGTTCAGCAGCAGTCATGGTACGAGACAAGCCTGGGAGAGTGGGGACTTCAGGATCTAAGATCTTGGATTTGTGATATGAGGCTGGAGGTTTGGCTGTCACTATGGCAGGTCAGCTGCAGAAGGTAATTTGTTACTGGGAGATGACCCAGTTGAGGTCATCTCCAGAGACCAGGGCACCAAGAGCAGTTTCTCCATCCACATGGAAGAAATACAGAAGACGACATCAGGGAAAGGGACTAAGGACAACTGTATTGGGAAGAGCCAATTGTGAGGGAAGGCGGGAGAGTATCCTATAGCTCAGGAGATAAGGACATGGGGAAAGGGCAGAATATTTGGAGGGGAAAGACTCCAAGAGTCCTGAGAAATGGGGCACAAGTGTGGAAGGAATCCTGAGGAGCAGGGAACATAGAAATTCCTGTGGGACCACAGTACAGTGGCAGAAGTGGTCTCTTTTGGTGAAGACTGGAAGTAAAGTACATTGGGGCTGGAGGGGGAAGAAAAATGAAGGCAAAACGTTGAGCCAAAGCCTTAACCAGATACTTCATGTTGTGATAGTCATTAATTTACTGGGCAAAAGTTGCCCTTTGGTTTGTCTTGAATGTTCCTCTTAATGTAATAAGAGAGTGGCTGAAAAGCTATCGTTGGTAAACCAAAATGTTGGAACTGACTTTTGGTCACGGCCCTCTGCCTGAGTAAGATTCAGCAGCTTTGCTAGTCTAAAGGGCCCTGTGATGGAACCTGACTGCAGTTCCACATGGAGGCCACAGGCAGGGAGAGGAGCAGCAGGGGAGCTGCTTGGTTTCATAAAATGGGGACACTGGTACCTCCCTCATAGGGCTGCTTGGGTTTTCAGCCTACAGTTAAGTCCTTACTAAATATTAGTGGTGGTAATTATCATTATAAATCCCATAGTCTGAGGGAGGGTTGAAAGTACGCTCCTCAAAATCATAGTAACAATGAGTCTCTCTCTCCCTTCTCCCTTTCCCCAAAGATAAAGAATACACTAACGTGATCCCAAACATTTATTTCCAGAGGTTTTTGACAGAAGAGGACAATCTTGAATAAAATTACACCACTGTACTTAAGGGCAACACTACACAGTAAGCAAAATCTGCCCTGACCACTTTCACAGACGAGAAACTTCAGAAAGGAATTTTCCATCTCCTGACAGTTTGACAACATTCGTATCTCTGACGCACTTCAAGCCTCAACCCATCTCTCATTTTCTAACTTCAACAGAAAATGTGTGTTCACAAGCTGTGTGTGCGCACATGTGCCTGTGTGTACACAAAAGGCTCATTTCACCTACTTGATAAACGAGCTGAGATAATGTTTTAGAAAAAAAAAAATTGGAAAAAAAAAATGTTACCCCAACACGATGGAGAAGCCAAGCCAAAAAGGCTTCATGCTAGAGCTAGCTTTCTCCTCAAAAACTCTTACATCCTAAAAACGTCCCAGTGGGTGCCTAAAAACTGAAATCCAGCGAGTTCATGGCCTTGAGTTCACTCCTGTCCTGAATTTCTCCCAGTGCAGGTCCAGAAGGGCAAGATGTGCCAGAAAGGAGAACGTGGGAATGTGTGAGTATCCTACAGCCAGCCCATAGTGCAGCTTGCACTCAGAGAGAAGACTCAGGGACACAAGGTCTCAGGATGCACAGCTCACCTTGGCCTCACGTGCCTGGGCTGGGGAGAGGGAGACCATTCAAAAGCCTGTGCTTGGCTGGGCGCGGTGGTTCACACCTATCAGCCCAGCACTTTGGGAGGCCGGGGCGGGCAGATCACTTGAGGTCAGTAGGTTAAGGACAGCCTGACCAACATGGTGAAACCCCATCTCTACTAAAAATACAAAAATTAGCCGGGGGTGGTGGTGTGCACCTGTAATCCCACCTACTCAGGAGGCTGAGGCAGGAGAATTGCTTGAACCCAGGAGTCGGAGGTTGCAGTGAGCTGAGACTGCACCACGGCACTCCAGCCTGGGTGACAGAGTGAGACTCTGTCTCAAAAAACAAAAACAACAAAAAAGAAAAGCCCATGCTTCAGACTTGACTCTTCAGCCTTGGTTTCTCCCAGTACCGTTACTGGGTCTTAGGAACTTTAATGCTCATAACTAATCCCTGTGACCCAGGAACTCCATCATGAGCCTCAAGAGCCCTCCTTAAGGTATTCAGCCGGTGACTTCAGTCTGACCACTAGCCACCTGCATAATTCCACAGCCCTTCTTGGCATCTCGATGGGCAGTCATGGTGCCTTGCCATGTAGGGCACATAGCCTGCTTAAAGAAAAGAAGATGGGTAGAGAAAGTGGAGACTGCTGTCCAGGCCACTGCTGAATCCTGGCACGGGGTTGAGTGAAGTTTTTGTGAGAGGGGTGGGGTCCTGGGGGACCCAATTAGGCAGATGCCTTCGCTACTGTCTGAGCCTGGTACTCCTGCTTCGCTTTCTCCCTCTGTTCCTGTTCTCTCTGGATCAACTGTACACGGTCTAGATGCCACTGCTGCAGATTCTGCTCATAGGTGACGATGTCCTCTGCTTCACAGGCGGAGAGTTTTTCCTTGACAAGCTGGGTGGTCAGACTTAAAAGACTTTCTGACTCAATTTTGCCCAGAGTCTGAAGCTTAGAATGTAAGGCCTGTTGGAAACAAAGGGGACAAATGAGGAGAAAGGTAGAGAAGTGAGAGAAGGATACAAAGAGGAAAAACTAGCCCTGAGTGACTGACTTTAGATTTGAACAAAAGTTTGCTGACTCGTAGTTTAGTCCTCATTCTAGTGTCCCAGAATGAAGTCACCTGCAAAATAACCAAATGTTTTGCTGGTAGAAAAAAACCATTTTGTTGGGAAATTGTCATGCTACCTTTCATCCAGGTGCTGTTAGCTTTTGTTATTTTCTTCAGCTCGGCAATTTTGCTAAGATGCACCGCATGTGATTTCTCTCCTTTCACTCACAAACAGTAAATGGAATTCCATATGCTGTGTCTCCCTGTGTAATTTCTTGTTTTAAACCACAGAGATGGCCAGCCTCTAACAAATCTATGTTTCCACCCTGACCTAAACCAAACCAAGCAGCAAACTCCAAGAACAAGAATTCTAATATGCAAACAAAATGGCAGAGGCATCTGATAACTGGAGCAAGCCCAACCATACTTGTGCCTTCAGAATAACTGAAACATGTATTTGCTTTCCTGGAGTTCCTCTCAACAGACAGAAATCAGTTCAAGGAATAGCTCCCCTGAGTGCCTGCACTGTTAGAAGCATCCACCTGCTGTGCTCCACTGCAGGTCAGCCTTTACGTACTGCCTGCTTACAGCTCCAACTGAAATGGCAGCTTGGTTTGGTTGGTGGTGTGTTCCTAGAGAAGTTAAGTATTAAAAACATTAATCTATTTAAGTACTTCGAGATGTACTCTCTCATTAGAGAGACAGAGCCACTTATGGGGCCAGCTGTAGCTTATACCACACATCCCCATGTTCCACAAACAAATGCCACTCATTGGCACAGGAAAGGAGGCTTGCTCCAGTAACAGGGTTGGAGGTGGGCAGGGTGCCTAGGCTCCAGGAGGGCACAGAGGCCTAGTGTGAGAGTCAATCATATAAAAATCGCTCCCAAACAAATGACCTCAGACTAACAAAAATCAGGCAACAGGAAGAAAAGGAAACGTAAAACGAAAACGATTTCTCTCTGATAACACTCTTCATGTGGGGTTTGAGGCCAACAAGACAGTTTGGGACACCAGAAAGAGGACTCAACTATGAGTCGGCAAACTTTTGTTCAAATCTAAAGTCAGTCACTCTGGGCTACTCTTTCTCAGTTTTGCTGTCATCTAACACGAGAAAGGTAGTCTCTAGCATCCAGAGATCTTGCAAGCAGAAATGCATTGGTGCCCAACACGCAGTTAGTAGTCAATAAATACTTGTCTTTTTAAAATGTTCATAAAAATACATTCGTAGAGGAATGAGGGCTGACAACATAATGCAGGCACAGGTTTCTATTCTCTGAGACAAAGTATATAAGAAACAAGGGAAGGAAGTTTTAATTTTTAAGAATAGTGTGGCAACCTTGGTCAATGTGAATGCAATGAATCATAATATATGGGGCTAAGGAGATTTTTTTTCTTCAGCCTTTCTAAATATACAAGGTTAAGCAAAGAGCCTGAAGGGGCAGACATGCAAATTCTCAGCCCAGCTACACTGCCAATTCTCTGGGTACCTTGGGAACATCGATTAATCTTTCTTTCTCAGTTTCAAATTTTAAGAGGGAAGTTGAGCAACGACTTCATAGAAGTACTGGGCGAAATTGTTGCTAAAAATACAACAGGCTCCCCCTTATAACACTGGGAATTAGGTTCTGTCCAATTACTGAAAAGATTTAAACATAATAATCTAGCAGAGTTTACATCTTATCAATACCAAAATGACACAAGTCACATACAATAAGTGGGAAAGTTTTTTGCTGTACAAAGAATTCCCATTCTGGCAGCATTTTTTCCCCCTTTGCACTAGACAAGAATCAAAGCAGCTAAGAAGCCAAGAGTTCAAACATTGAACATGGTTCTTTCCTGATACTGATCACAGAGCATTTTGGGATGTACAGAGTTAGAAGCTACCAAAGGTAGCTTGAGTGCTCAGGGCTGTTCTGGAAAGAAATAGTGCAAACTGTTTACAGCTTCCATGCAGCACAAGAGAACAACACAGCTGCCAAAGATGAGCAAAGAGAGACGCCCGCGTGTTATCTCTACATACGAAATGTGGCATTATAGTGTCTAACTGGGTTTTTAGGTTATCAAGCACATTTAGTGCAAGATGGAGAAATGGCCAGATACTTTCCACCTGGGGTGGGAGTCAGGTTATTGCTGAGGAGGCAAGCAACTACCTAGCCAACAGGCGCATATCAGGAATGCGTGGGCAATGACATGCTACCTTGGTGAACAAAACTGTGACCGATTAGCTCAAATACAAAAGGAGCATAAAAATTCCATTGGTTTAAGACCACTTCCTGTGCAAAGCAATACAAATGTAATTTTTCATGTCAGTTTTTAATGCCTCTTTGTGTGTGACATTGATGCAGAAAGAATGCTTGTCCATCACCACAGGAGAGAAGTGTGTTTTATACACTGCTAAGAGAGACACATTCTGCTATGATTCACCTGAAATCGTTCCAGGTACTGAGGAAGCTTCGACTGTTCTGTTTCCTCGATGTCTAACTGCTCCACCAGTTTTTCCCACTCCTGCTTGTCTTCATCTTTTTGGGACTGCTCCTCTGAAACCCCATCAGCTGAAGTCAGAGCCTTCAGCACTGCGTCCAGCACATGGAGCTGTGGAGCAGAAAGAGGGTCAGCAACTACATGTCTTATGGCCCAAAAGCACATGGTGAAGAGAGGCTGGAAAAGGCGAAAGAAAGCAAGAATGAGCTCTAAAAGACTGTGAAAAGATTTCTCTTATAAAATTGTAGAAAATATAAATGGTTATATTTTTTCACATTATAAACACCCTATCAGATGGCATGGAAAACAGTACAAAACGAATAGTAGAAATAAGCAAGCTAGGCTGGGTATGGTGGCTCATGCCTGTAATCTCAGCACTTTGGGAGGATGATGTGGAAGGATTGCTTGAGCCCAGCAGTTTGAGACCAGCCTGGACAACATAGGGAGACCCCATCAATTAAAAAAAAAAAAAGCCAAGCATGGTGGTGCACCCCTGTGGTAGGTCCCAGCTGCTCAGGAGGCTGAGGCAGGAAGACTGCTTGAGCCTGGGAGGCGGAGGCTATAGTGAGCCATGATCACACCACTGCACTCCAGCCTGAGTGACATAGCGAGACCCTGTCTCAAAGACAAAACAACAACAAAATACCAAATAAGCGAGCTAAGAATTATTTGTATAAGTGAATCAGCACAATGGCAGCTAAGTTCGCTTTTAGTTAGCCAGATAGGAATCCAGGAATAATGCTTGATGGACGCTAAAGTACTTCCCACTTCCATGTCTTTCTTCCTCAGTCAGTTTGGATTTGGGACAAAGGGATAGACAAGTACAGAACACAACCAACCAAAGGCCATTTTAAGTGTATGTTAAAGCCTCTGGATATAGGCAAGGGTCCCCCTCAGAGAAAGATTTTAGCTCACATGGTATCTGTAAATTAAGGATCAGTGTAATTCACATAAGCTGCTGGCAAAGACCAGAGATGCATACATGAAATTCATTTGAATGAGGTGATTTCTGTGACTTAGGAAGTAAATTTAAAAACAGAAGATTTTTGTTTTGACCCCTCTCCCCTCTACTTTCACTTTGAGGTACATCTCCCTTGACCCACGGAGGGCCTAATGATCAGAAATGGGATATTAACAACAGCAAGGCCAGCAGAAACACCTGCCTGGAAAGCATTTAATCCTGTCCATGTCACATCAGAACACAAATCCTACAAATATGCCAAGGCCTTTTAATACCACTAATACATCACACCCAAACTGGACACATAGCACATTTTTGCTGACATGTGAACACATTTTCTACTGTTAGAATGCAAAGATTGCAAATCTGGCTGAGATTGGAAGGAATATTTCCCTAGCAAAGTATTTATGTATAATTTTGTGTTTTCAATCACCAGTACTGACTATAGCAGGGTTAAAACCAGTATAGTAACAAATGTATATCCTTTGTTATAAATGTCTGGCAAACAGCATAATGATTCACTATACGTAAGTGTAAGGTGACAGGACAGACACCAGACCTGACCACCTCAGGACTGAAATGAAAGCCAAGGGATGAGCCCTAGCAACCAGAGTCAAGAAAAAACAAATACGTGGCTCTATGGTAACCTTTACACCATGGTAACAAGACAACCAATGTCCTTCTCAGGCCTCAATTGGCTGTAAAAGCTGTTTGGACAGGAGCAGACGCTACGGCTGCCTGTGGGGTGTAAGGCGCATCATGTCGCCTGGAGTTAGAGCAATCCCATGCTGTAAAGGGTCCTAGGTGACCAAGAGGCACGAGCTTTGGGACTGGTGGGAGGGTAGTGTTCTTGTTCTGGTAAAGTGAACACCTCAGAACTTTGAACGAAACATCTGGGTCAGATCTCATCAGCATCACACATTCACACAGAATGGTTTAAGACGGTTCCATGTCTGGTCCTCAGATTCATTTCTTGAGGACTTTTATGGGGAAAAATGTTACGTAGCCTACATGCTATGTAGACTACATGGGGTTACAGAAATGGCAAACATATTTAAAACGAAATTTTACCCTCTCTTGAGTTCTCAATGAGCTTTTTTTTTTTGGTAAGGAGGTGAGGGACGAGGCAGTGGAATAGTTTTTTTTCCTACACAATGAACTATAAATCAATGTTAATCAAATTTTCTAGTGCCTTTGGTCAGGAGCATTGAAAATGTTTGTGGTTTTGCATTTTTTCAACTGGATAGGTACCTATTCTATAGAAATACAGAAAGTAGGGGTAGGGGAAGGACAATGAAAACAAATTTAAAGCTCAGGTTATGGGAAACAGATGGCTAAATCTTACTGCCTTAGAGCTGAGGAACATACCGCTTCTCTACACAGCTTTATGTCTTCTGGGGAGGCAGCCACTTTCTCCATCACTTGCAGGGCTCTGTCAAGGTAGCCTGGTTTCCATATCAGAGGCATGTTGTGGTACACAGCCCGTAGCCCTTGCTGCAACTCCACCTTCCCTGTGGCCAAAAAGAACAATAAAGAATGCTCAGCTATGTCTTCCCACCATTTCTAAGACTGAGGACCTGAAGGCCCAAGTGAATGTTCACCTGGCAGTTCTAGAAACAGAGAAGGATCATTTCAAATCTGTACCAAGAGACTCATCTCATCCAGTGACACTTCAGATGGATAATGAAGAATGTGGTAAAAATTCCATTTTGTAATGCAAAATTACATGAACTTGTTTTTCTTCTTTCTCATTTGGGCTGGTGGAGATTTTCATGAGGATGTATATTATATAAACCACTGGGCTGAGGGCAACTGAGAAGCTGTCATATATGGCTCTAGGTAAGGATACCCTTAAAAAAACAAGTCAACTGAGAAACAATTTTTGTTTCAAGAACAAAATCTTCCCCAGAAAAAGAAATCTCACAACTTTCCTACTGTGAAAATTTTGTCAACATCTGACCACCTTCCCTGCTAGGAAATGTTTGCCATTTTTTGGAATCCTTCAACACACCCAATCCTTATGAAAAAAAACCTTCATCTTTCCCTTCTTTCCTTTGAGTTTCACTGGTTTTAAAATCACAGAGTTCATGCTCATAATCTTTTTGGATCTCTGGACGTGAACGTTTCTCTGGGTACCTCAAGCCATCACACCTGGAGTTCAAGATGTGGACACTAGACAGCAGGATCTTCTGGTAGAGAGATGGCTGTCTGTATTCCTGTGGTGCAGAACCTCTCTGTACTAATGACCAAAGTCACCTTGAGCTGTCCAGTCTTAAATCTACCTTCTTTTATCTTTCCTGGGAAGGAGGATTTGGGAAAGCCAGAGTAGGACACAAACAGACAAAGCTTATCAGGAGACAGCTAATTTTAGACCTTTAAGGTGCTTGGGGCTGGGCTGCAGTTACATTCTGGGCAGCTGCTTCCATCAGGGTTGAGTGAGGCTGCATGGCAAATGACACAATGAGAGCAAAGAGCTTCTGCTCTGATGGCTGCCATCACAAAGAACCAGGGCCTCTGCTCACAAACCACAACAAAGTACATTTTCTTTGCCCTGTCACTTCTGACCAATTCAGGCTGTGTGACAGTACTGAATGCTAATCTGAAAGCAAAGGAAAATACATGTAAATCAACATCAAAAGTAGGTGGCAAATAAGGAAAAAATGATTTTTAAAAAGAGTGGTCAATTCCTTTGTGAGTCTGACAGACAGTCAATAAACTCTGAAGTTCCTCTGAGTTATTATAAATCAGCATCAAGAATAACACACTACATTCTGTTGGCAAAAATCAACTTCAAAAGCAGTCAAACTGCTATAACTTTGTGATTTTCAAAAACAAAGGTAAGCAGAAGCAATGTATAATTGAGAGATGTCTAACTACTTAAGAGATAATGGGAGAATAATGAAATAACATGCATTTAATAAAACTCTGTAAATCAGGACAACATTTTATGTACACTTAGGTTGAACCTTATTTGCCCAGATTCCACACAACCCAGGTTCTGAGGCCATTCTTCAGAAGGCGTTGTCCTCTTAACCTGTCTGATTTTCAATGCAATCAGGGCACAAGAGGAAAGCCACCATCGTACCTCCTGGTGCAATCACATGGTGCCCATGAACTACTCCACTTTTCCTGAAGTGCTACTACTTGTGCTCTTCCCTTACCTGAAAACAATGCCAAAGATACAAGTTCAACTCTAACTCTTAATTTCTTACCTTCTGGACTTTAGATCTAAAGAGACAGAAAGATCTTTGTTAATACTGGAAAAGATTCTACTACCTAGTCTCCCTAAACAGGGCCAGAACATCCCTTTCTTTCTTTTTGATCCCTTCCTCAGATTGATGACCACTGAATATTATTACCTATGTCCACCAGAACTAGTTCTTGCTTTGCCAGTGATGGCAGGTTTTAAGAACCCTCTTTACTCTCTTATGTAAGGCCATCAAGGTCTATTTTTATGTCTGAAAATGAAAGCTAATTGGATTTCACTGGTAAATTTAAATCAAATTACAATTTTATCATGAACTGGAAGAATGCAACAATTCTGACCATGAAGAACGATATTTGTAAGGATCATTTAGCTTACCAAGAAGTGCACAGCCATACAACTGGGAACTGAAACCCACTGAGTTCTTTTGTTTTAGGCCTGGAAGCAATAGGGATGCTCCAAAGTTCCTCTCCTCTTCCCACTGCAACAGAATATACCAGATCATGATCCATCTAAGCAATGAGTACTTTATACAAAAATGTGACTTTTAATGACACGAGGAAAAGAACATGTTATAGTATTAAGTAAACAAAGAAGAAGAACAAAGCTATATATACATTATAATCCTAATTTTGTGAATAAAAGGTACTTATGTCAAAGAAAAATATAGGAAAATATAGGAAAAAATATAGGAAAGAAATACCCTATATGTTAATAAATTTTTGGGCAGTGAAATTATGAGCAATTTTGGTTTCATTCTCTGTATTTCTTATTATTTTCCAAAAATTTGGCAACGAATAAGTGTTTCTTTTACAATCAGAAAAGGAAAACAAAACAAAAATAAAGAGTACACTTTACACCAACACTCACTTGAGACAATAAAGATTCAACACATTATCAGCCCCACAATCACTCACACTGCTGTGGCCTGATCGAGCAAGCTTTTGAATTTTAAACAATTTAGCAATGATAAGACTTCTTCAGAGTGTTAGAATAAATACCACTATTAAATTGCTTTTAGATAGATTTGTGCCTCTCAAAAACAAATGAGGCAATCAGAAACAGTGATCATTTCTTTCAACCCAGGGTGCAAAATTACGCTTCAATAAAAGTGAAGCCTTTAGAGACACGGGGGAAACGAAGGGCAGAAACACAAGCATTGCTAAACCTGCTGCAGGCTAGTAGGAATGATGACTGGAGGACTTGCTGGTAATGCAGTCAGGGGAGAGCCTTGGCAACTCCCCAGTGGGATCTGTGATCTTCTTGGTGCCACATGAGTACACACTGGACAGAGTTAGAGCCCTAACTGTGGCTTCAAAACATAGAACACTAAGCTCAGGTTGCCCTGCACTGGTCTCTGCACCCAGAGATTAGGGAGGAAGCAGAGAATGAATAATGTCTGCAGGCTGCAGTTATAGCCACGTGCAAGTGAGGCACCCCAGATGTTCACAGGCACCCAAACCTCTTTACTGTGAGTAGCCTTTGTGCAATACAAGTGTCATTTCTTGAGGCTGCTCCCCTATCTTTGAGAAAAGCAAAGACCTCAGGAGAAAAACAACCCCCCCCAAGCACTTCGGCAGCACAGGTAAACAAAAGAGTTGGTAATTAAAAACCAGGTCATTTTACTTTCAAAAGGAAATCACTCTAAGAAGTTTGATTTCCCCCACTTAAAACTGCATGGAAAGTGGGGCCGGCGAATAACAAATAAGGAGCCTTAAAAACATTTTTTCCCCCCTGTAGGGAAAAACATGAGCTACAGTATCAGGCTGTAGCAGGGTTTATTAAAGCCAAACGAACACTAAAATATCTAAGCACTAGATACCTTTTATGTGTTAGGAGTCAAGAAAGGGTGGTGACAGTGACTGGGATGGTGATACTTCTAAAGGACTTCAAAAAAGATGAATGAAAACAAACAAATGACTGTCTTAGAAATTCTCTGATCATTGTCTGGGACTCCTGCAACTACTGCTGCTTACGTGAAGCTATTCATGTGTCAACATAAAATAACAGATCTCTTCCAAGCCTTTAGTTTATTTTCTTTTTTTCTCTTTGGAGACAGGGTCTTGCCCTATTGCCCAGGCTGGAATAAGGTGGTATGATCACAGCTCACTGTAACCTCAAACTCTTGGGATCAAGGGATCTTCCCAACTCAGCCTCCTGAGTAGCTAGGACTATAGGCATGTGCCACCATGTCTGGTTAATATTTTTTTTATTTTCAATTTTTGTAGAGATGAGGTCTTGCTATGTTGCCTAGCCTGGTCTCAAACTCCTGGCCTTAAGCAGTCCTCTTGCCTTGGCCTCTCGAAGTACTGAGATTACAGGCATGAGCCACTGCTCCCAGCCCAAGCCTTTAATTTCTATTGTAGATACTATAATGGATTAATTCAGGTGTTGTTTCATCAACGCCCTCAAAGTTTTTCCATTTTATGCTTTGCCTCTTCCATTAATACAAAGCAAATCCTCATTCTCCCAACTTCCCCACTTTACTCTCCATTTCATAGCTAGGCATCTTAAAAGAGTTGTCTATACCTCTAATCATTCTACAATCCATTCCAATTTGATATCCTCCTCCATTACTCATATGGAAACAAAGGTTACAATTTAGTGCCTCCCATGCCACTAATGCAGTTAGTGAACTTTTTTTTTATTCCTCATCTTATCCTACCCCTTTGGAAGCATTCTACATAGTAGACCATCTCTTCCTGTGGATTCTGTGGTCCAACACATTCCTGATTTCCCTTCTTTTTACTTTCTGGCTCACATTGGAAACATTTACACAGGGATGTATAAGTCACTTTTTGCAACCATTTACACATGGATGTATAAGTCTCCAAAATTGTATCTCCAGTCTAGATCTTTCCATTAAGCCCCCAGTTCCTTGGTGAAATCTCGTGACTGTCTCAAATGAATTTCAAAATGCAACACGTTCAGAGCCACAGTAACGACTTTTCTCATAATATCCAGTCTTTTCCCAAAGTTCCCTCTTGCAAACAACACATAGAACCCCTTCCAACCAGATGTATGAGTCAGAAACTGAGGAGACAATAAGTGACCCCTGCTTCCCTGCCTCATCTTGTTATCTGCCTCTCAAATACGCCCACTCTCTAACTGCATCATATCCTGGTCTCTATGCTACCATTATCCCTTGCTCAGATTTAAGGCAGTCTCTCAAATCGTCTGACCACAGCCATCCTTGCCCTGCTCTGATAGCTTATCCACAGTACAGCCAGAAGGACCTTATCAAAACACAGATCTGATTATTATATGCCCTCTACTTCTAACTTTTCAAGGGCTTCTCACTATTTTTAGAATGAACACAGAATGGCTTAGTATGGCCTACATTTTCCAACCCTATCTCACTCCACGTCCTCCCTACCATTTTCTGTCGTAACTACATTGACTATCTTCTTCCAGTCCATTTCTTTTCACTAAGTTTTGTGCCACAGGGCATTTGCACATGTTATTTCCTCTTTTTGGACTGTTCTTCCCCTCCTTAGCCAGTTAATTACCAGTCATCCTTCAATAGTAACCTAAGAAATATTTCCTTAAGGAAGCCCTTCCTAACCAATTTAAGTTTAAAATACAGAGAAAACTCCCTATAATATATTCTTTTCATAGATTTCTCCTTTGTAGTGTTCATGACAGTCATAGTTTTATACCTGTGTGATTGTTTTGTTTAAATGTCTGTGTTCTTCCTAGATTGTAAGCAGGAAATATTTGCTCACCATTATATAACTAGTACTTGCCAATGTATGGAATTTGTATGTGTTCAATATAGTATATTTAATGAATTAATAATGAATGTGGGGTATATCATAAGATTATGACACTCATCTTAGAAAGGCATAACATGCCATCTACTCTTTAGAATGTGGGCTGGACTAAATGACCTCTTCAGTTCCTACCCAAACTGGGATTTTTTGATGTTTACAATTGAGGTTAAGGGCAGATGGCAGAGGCAGACTGACTGGCTTTACCAGGTGGCTTCGTTACCTGCTAGCTGGGGGGTTACTCTGTAACATCTCTGGGCCCCAGTCTCCTTATCTGCCTAGGGTTGTTGTGAGAATTAAATGCATTAATACATTTAAAACAAGAACATAGCCTGGTGCAAAGTAAGTGCTACTTAAAATATCGGTTATTGCTATTGTTATTCTTAGGATAACAATAAGCAATGATTAAATATGTGAACCTAAGACCTGAAACCAAAACTTGATATTGTAGACTTTCCAAAACGGAACTGCCCTAGAGAAACCTTAGGAAAATACTGATACAAATGAAATAATCAGTATTTAATGTCCCAGGTAATGGTCAATGTTAGCTGCCTCACTGCCTCTTTGACATGCCATGTCCAGCTCTCAATGATTTCCAACGACCCATTTCTGAATGTTTGAGGTGCACTCAGCCTAGTTCAGGTTTCAAAATATGCAATCACTTTTGACTCAAGTGGAACAACCTCCAATTCCATTCATTAGAAACCAGTAACCAAAATGTACAGAATAAACACACATTCCAGGTTGTGCCTGGCCACAGAGCAGTAGACACCTTTTTCTAGCTTTTGAGAGCAAGCCCCTGCTTGCCTTTTCTAAAGTTCTTAATGCTGCTTTAGGGAAGATCACTTACACTGAAGTCTGTCTTCTCTGCCAGGCAATGAAATAAAACATAGAGGGAGAGAAGTTGGGTGGAAGGCACTTCAAAGGCTTCTTGCATCACGACCTCAAAAACCACAGATAAAGCATCTGGCAAGAAGACGAAAGTAAAAATCAGAGGAAATTAGTTGTAGGTAATATTACCAAATCTCTTTTAACTATAAACACTCTTAAAAAGTGGGGCATGGTAAACAACAACAACAACACAGAATTAAGAAGTAAAATATGCGGGCTCTGGCCCTAGTTCTTCCACAAACCAGGCTTTTCCTAAGCCTTTAGCTTCTATTTTACATACCAGAATGAACTAAATCAGGTGCTACTGCACCAATGTCCTGAAGGACATTAAACAAACCACTAATTTCTCTTGGCTCCCAGTATCATCTTCATAATAATAAATTACTATTTGCTTCATCTACTTCAAAAGAATTTTGGACAGTTCAACAAGATAATACATATGAAAATGGCTCAAACTGTGATGCAAGTTTAAGGCATCATGTCTATCAGCTAGAAGAGCTAAGGCATAAAGGAGACACATATATTCTCAAGATCACCCTGACAAGCAAAGCAGAGAGGCTGGTCTGACTGCCCTATTCTCTGCTCTGGTACCTTCTCACTGTTAAGGCAGAAGAGGACAAAATGCTAAAGGAAACCCTAAATCTCAGGTATTATTTCAAAGAAAGCAAAATAATGACTATAAAAAGGACAATAAGGCTCAGTTTAAAATACTTGTTGGAAGGGAATGGGAAATGCTCATTCGTAAATTATAAGCCTCTGAGTATAACATATAACATAAGATATTTGTTTGCACATTAATGCTGGTTATTAAAGCCTGGGAAGTGGTCTTTAAGCAATTTTTATTTTCCCTTGATATTCTACAACATAGATGGAGGCCAAGAAAATCAAGTCAAACAATTTCTTTCTGTAGTTATTTGGTGGTAAAGTAGAGAATATTAACAATGGCTTAACACATAGTGCCTGTTCATATCACAAGCACAACAAATATTTTTCACTTAATGAGTTTTTTTAAACCAATTTTTACATATATTCATAACTATAAAATAGCACTGATTTGCAGCTGTTCCTAGCAAGCTGGTTGCACATGTTGTCATGGTTCTGAATGAGGCCATAGGCATGAATGTCTGTTCTTTTTGCAAATGGGGAAACTGAGATAGACAGGTAGACCAGGTAGTCATCTAATAAGTCAGTAGAAAATTAAGAACCTGGAAGGAATTTTCTTTTACATAAACAAGCCAGTAATATTTTAAAAGAGCATAGGCTAAAAATTCAGTTGAAAAAAAAAATCTCATTTCTGCCAACTGTTCATTACTGAACCCAAAATTATACTTGAAAAATAAATTTACTTTATCCTTTATTTATATTCTACATTTCAGTCAGTTTGGGAAGTGAAATTAGATTGGACAATATAATTAACTTACTTTTCCTCTATAATCATTTATGTACTTTGATATTTTTTATCTTAACAAAAATAAAAATAATATTTTTAAAAATTTTGCATAAATGATAATCGTCTAAACTTTTCTGACTAAAAGAGTGATGAAGAGATGTTATTAAGAAATAAAAAAGGGGAAGTTCCTACATTTGTACACCTCCCTTTGGGAGCCGGAAGCCCTACAAACACTGAATCTGGGCTTAGTTTCTTACCTTTGTAATTTTCTTTCTTTATGAAAGAATCCATCAGTAAATTGAATGTAAAGTTATCTGGAAAAATTCCATATTGAACCTATAATGAAATGAACATAACAGGAAAAAAAGAGAAAATTATCTAATTTAGTCTGTAGTATATGCCTATGTTATTCAGAATAAAACTTGTCACTATTAGCTTTAAAATATTTGACTATCATTTTACAGCATCTGTGACAGTGAAACAGAAGCCATGACTCATGAGGTCTGGTATGAGGCACTGTTGGTCAGTGTGAGAAAGTTGTGAGTGGGTGTCTGATATAAGACAACTGATATGTAAAAACTAAGGCTTCAATTCTAACACCTCATCATAGCTTAAAAAAAAAAAGAAACCCACACAACGCCCCTAACTGGTTCAGTGACTCTTTTTATAAAGTATGAATAACAATGCAAAAACTCTCATGAGAAAGCAGACATTACACAGCATTTTCTGGTTCTTAGCCTGGCTTTTCAGGTCCCAAGAAATATGTCAACAAATATTTGCTATTAAATTTCTAGAAAGTTGTGTCATACAACTGAATACTTGAGAATTCAGATTTCTTAAAATGTGGACCCTTTAGCACCTGCAGGATGTTGACTTTCTCGGAGTGTTTTTAACAATACAGATTCCTACATCTCAGACCTACAGAACCAGAATCTCTGGGAATTGAGCATAAAAACCTGAATTTTTAGTGAGCTTCTCGTGATTTTCATGCATACTCATTTTACTACCAGTGATCCAGATTGTGGCTGCATTTTTATCTGTTTCAAATTCTTCAGTAATGTTAACCACCATTCCCCACAGGCTCCATTCTTCCTTCTTGCAACCAGTAGAAACACCTGAGGAATTTTCTAAACTATATCCTTATCTCCTTGGGAGATTTTGATACAGTCCTAACCCCCAACTGTGAATCACCACTGAGCTGACTCATTGTTTCCAGGAGTTATATATAGGAGCCTCAGGTGTGCTGAAATGGAAACATGTCTAAAAAATCACTATTTTAAAGGTTGTAGCTCATGGCCAGTGTCTATATTTCTCAAAGCAGTCATCCAAATCAGTATTAATCCCTAGGGCAGGGTAAAAACCAAAATATTTTAGGATGACAAATCATTAAAGCTGAAAGGGATTTTAGAAATCAACTGGTCAATGATTCTCAACCCAGGCTGTAAATGAGAACTGTGAGCTTTAAAAAACAAACAAACAAACAAACAAACAAATAAACAAACCCAATGAGGGATGAACAGTCAGGGATGAGGGATGATACTACAATGGTGGATACATGTCATTATACATTTGTCCAAACCCATAGGATGTACAACATTAAGAGTGAACCCTAATGTAAACTAGGGCTTTTGGGTGACAAGAGTTTGTCAACGTAAGTTCATCAATTGTAATAAATGTACCACACTGGGGCAGGATGTTGATTATGAGGAAGGCTACGCATGTGTTGGGGCAGGGAGTACATAGAACATCTATGTGCTTTTCACTCAGTTTTGCTGTTGAAGGAAACAAAAATATTTCTCCCCAAAATCATTGAGGATGTTAAGTGAAAGACACCGAAAATGCAGGGGAACACTCTGCCACAGCCTCCAATTGCCTAATGGCAGCACACAAATCCTTCTTTCCTAGAACAGCACTTGCTTCTAAGCCCAGAGAAGGCACCAGCAGGCACCAGAGGAATCTGAGAACAGATTTTACTATCTTCCCACATTTTCCCACCTTTTGAAGACTGTAACTTTTCCTTCCTTTGTCTTGTCACTGTATAGGATTTATGTCCCTTGGTTGAAATACTATTTCAGCAAAGCCCTAAGCCACTGCCTTGAGATAGAAACACTTTTGAACTGAGGCCTTTCCTGTGTGATGAGTACAGCATATATTAATAATCTTCTGCTTGTTTTTCTTTTGTTAATCTGACTTTTGTTTTCAGCAGAGTGTCTCAACTAAGAACCTAAAAGCAAAAGAAAATAAATTATGTTTTCTCTCCTACACTGTGAACCCGAAACTGACAGAAACATTTAAACTTATTTAAAAAAAAATTTAAATTCCAATGCCTGGGCCCCAGACAGATCAATTAAACTAGAATTTCAGGAGTAGAGGCAAACATCTACATTTTTTAAAAAGCTTCTTGGGTGACCCTAATGGGCAGCCAGAGTTGGAAATCACTGATTTACTACAACCCACTTGACTTAGAGTGGAAAACACTAACAGCAAGAAGAATATAGTTATTTGCCTAAAGTTACCAGCAACCAGTGGAGTCTGTGGGGCTACAGACTGGACCTTCTGATTTCTAGTTTGATGTCCTTTCCACTAAAAGACTCGAGAAGCAGCAAAAATTCTAGACCCTCCTAGTTTTGTTATCATAGGAATCTTTGAGTGTAACGTGTGGCATTATACTCTGAACTGAAGAAAACAAGATTTAATCCATTCCTTCCTCTGGGTCTTCCATTTTCTCCTCTTGAGATTCAAGGCTATCATCTTGATTGGACTTACCTAGGGAACTAGCTCAATCTCTTACTCCCTTCCTTACCTGGTTCCTCCCTTAACATACCTTATACCCCAGAAAAAGGCAATGTATTACTGTTCAGACTGAGTCTTTGTTTTCACCTAGATATACCTCTGGTAATATTGTTTCTGCCAGCCCATCTCCATGTGCAAGCATACGTCTTTTGGTGACCATCTTAAATGGTACCTCAAGTCTCTTTTAATTATGTCCTTCCTATCGGATTCCCTCATCTTAATTCTCCAAGTTGTTTTCACTGTTTTTCTTTTCTTTTCTTTTTTTTTTTTTTGAGACAAGGTCTCATTCTGTTGCCCAGGCTGTAGTGCAGTGGCGTCGTCACAGCTCAATGCAGTCTCCACCTCCTAGGCTCAAGTGATCCCCCTACTTGAGCCTCTAGAGTAGCTGGGACTATAGGTCTCAAACTCCTGCGCTCATGTGATTCTCCTATCTTGGCGTCCCAAAGTGCTGGGATTACAGGCATGAGCCACAGTGCCTGGCCTTTACAAATATTCTTGTGCGGCACTTACTTTTGCCTAATATTAGATTTATAAGTAACCCAGCTTATTTGCCTTATTAAATTATAAGCTTCCTGAGGGCAAGAACAGAATATTGCTCATTTTTGTATCCACTATCAATAACCAATCCAATGTCTCACAAATAAACTGTATATAACATATATTAAGTTGAATTGGGTCCAAGTCATGGAAATAAAACATTCTGCACAGAAGGGGACTCAAAATCAGTATTCCTTTTCGGTGCTAACTTTCAGGGTCCAGTGACATTATAGACACAATACCTTTTCATTAAAAGACTTAAAATATCTTTTTGGTTCAAACTAGTATTTAGCTTCAGACTCACAATAATAACATTCTAAATCTCTGTTTATTTTGTATTTACTGCATACTGTGGAAGGTAAGTAAGACTCAACTCTTGGGTGCTGTAACAGTTAGAAAGATCCTAATCCTAGAGGGTCTCAGGCTTGATGGGAGGAGTCAGGGAACTCAAAAGACATAGGAGCAAACATGGTCATGTTTTTTCCCTACACTTCACCAGAGGGAAACAGGCAAGAAATCTAAGGCTTAGCAATCAAGAATGAAATGACCACCACTGGAGAGTTCTTCTGATTAGACTACCTTTTGCTTATACCTGTCCTTTTCTGAGTCACTATGTTTGGAAAAGCAGCAGCTCAGGATTTTTTTTTTTAAAATTTATTAACTTATACCCAGCTTCATTATTAACTTATACCCAGCTTCATTCTGTTAATAAGAAGAATATTTGAGGTCAAATAATTTTTAAAAGTTATTTCTGGTGTTATTCTTTGCTGTACTACAGTAGGTACAAACATCATATCATCTAAACTCAGAAAAACAGGTTGCAGATCTATGGAACCACTCACCTTATTTACAAGGGTATATAAGGCTTTGTCTTGTGCATCATATTTTAGACACTGCCTAATCCAGCTGTGGATAGTCCAGTTTCTCAGGTACCAGCAGTTGGGGCTGTGTCGAAATCTAAATAAGCAGAAGAGAAGAGAAAACTAGTGTTAACTCTTACATGTTAAAACACATCTTCCATCGATAGGTCCTTCTCTTAGATATTTAGTGTGCAATGTGACAGAAATTCATAAAAGTGAACAGTTGATAAAAACTTGAGAATGAAACTCATTAACCACAAAGTCTGAAATGGTAAAGAGAAGGCAAACTAATAAATAACAAAAAAGATTTACAAAAATTGTATTCCTTATACCCCTTACCTCAATACCTTATTTTAAGAGATTTATGAAAAATGATTTGGGGAAAATACTAATCATGGCATTATGTAAACAGATATTTCATTAGAAGAGGTGTGAAGCTTAAGCTGAAACTTTGGAAGTTTAAAACAAACGAAGAAAATAAAAAATAGGATAGCATAGCAACTCTGTAGAGGAGAATCAGCTTTGAGTAACAGTGATATTTCCTGTGGCTCTTACGAGAGACTGGGACATTCTTCACTGAGTCAAAGGAAAACAGAGGAAAAGAAATAAAAGTTGAGTAAAATTTAACATTCATGTCCTCCAAGATCCACAATCCCACACTGCCTTCTTCACAGTTCCATTGTAGCTCGTCAGTTTATCCCTTACTTCCTATAGCTCCCCACAGGGTCTTAAAAGTCTGAAGCAGCCCAGTATGAGTTATATACAATAATAGTATACCTACAAAGGAATGGTGCTTGGAAAGGAATTCCAAATGCTGCTTTTGCCTTAGTCCACGCACATTGCTAACACCTGGGATGGAAGCTGCTACTCCTAGTTCCTGGGGTTCATGATAAAAGACTGAGTGGAGATTGCGCTCTAAGATGGGGGTGGAAAGGGCTCTGTAGTCCCTCTTTTTATTTATCTACTTTGATTAGGATGGACCTTCATATACTATACTATATCATGTTACCTGAAATCCCCATGTTTTCCTTAATCATTCAGGAAGCAGGCCAATCACTGGGCCCCACGAAAATCAAACTCTTTTCTTAAAAAGCAAGAGGAGAGACAAAAACCTAGTGCTAAAGGATTCCATGCCATAATTGAGAGTCAACGGTACAGATGAATACTAGTGCCTTTCAGAGACTGATAATTCAGTCTGCCTCCTGCTATTTCCTGCCATCTGCTATTGGGATGGTTTCCTCTGAACAGGTTCTCTGCCAAAGTAATAGCTAAGAAAAGGAGAGGAAGTGAGAAATAGTATTTAATTTAGGATATCTATTAGTGCTCTGGTGAGAGATTTGGCAAAAATAAGATCCAAAGATGTTTTATGGATTTAGGGTCTTCTAGGCCACCTGATTCTCTTCAATATTTTAGGTTTTGCTAGAAAATGTCTCTCTCACTCTATTTTTCTCTACAAATTAGCCCCTTTAAAATCACAAATAGAGAAATATGTCAAATTAGGTTTAGAATAAGAGTGACATGGCCAGAGAAAGGCACTATATAGGGGACCTAGATATTTGATCTTATAAGATCCTCTGCACAGAAATGAAACAAAATACACCTTTTAGTATTTCATTTTTTCCCTCATTTTTTATTTTTATTTTTTGAGACAGGGTCTCACTGTTGCCCAGGATGGAGTGCAGTGGTGCAATCCTAGCTCACTATAACCTCAAACTAACTCCTAGGCTCAAGCAATCCTTCCTGCTAAGCCTCCCAAGTAGCTGGGAGTATAGGTGCATGCCACTATGCTCAGCTTATTTTTTGTACAAACAGGGTCTTGCTATGTTGCCCAGGTAACATTTTCAAATCAATAATTTAGCTACTTTATTCTTGTTTCTCTGAACAATCTGAGATTTAACATGAAATGACCAATTAAAAATGAGTTTCATTTTTTAAAGAAAAAAGTCAAGTGAAATATCAGGTGTATTGCTTCAATGATGGTGACGCTTCCTCATCAGCCTGTGAGTTCCTGGGTTAGCAGAGACAGAGATTGACTTGCTCAATACTGATTCCTGTACTGACACAATTCTTGGCCCATAGGTTTTTCAGCCAATAAAAAAAAAAAGAGCTTTAATCAACACTGGTATTAAATGCTGTTATGTCCCAATCTTTTGTTAATGTCTATGGTATATATGAAGATACGTAAATTTCCTTTTTGGGACATTTAGAGTCTCATTACAAAAAAGATGCACACAAAATTTAATAGTAATACAAGGTGGAGCATGATCAGTGCTAAAGACAAAAGGGATTGCTAGAGGCTAAAGAGTTTTTGGTAGTAGCAGTTGTTGGGTTTAGTCAATTTTTCCTTTAAAAAGGAACAAAACAGGCCGGGCGCGGTGGCTCAAGCCTGTAATCCCAGCACTTTGGGAGGCCGAGACGGGCGGATCACGAGGTCAGGAGTTCGAGACCATCCTGGCTAACACGGTGAAACCCCGTCTCTACTAAAAAATACAAAAAACTAGCCGGGCGAGGTGGTGGGCACCTGTAGTCCCAGCTACTCGGGAGGCTGAGGCAGGAGAATGGCGTAAAAACCCGGGAGGCGGAGCTTGCAATGAGCTGAGATCCGGCCACTGCACTCCAGCCTGGGCGACACAGCGAGACTCCGTCTCAAAAAAAAAAAAAAAAAAAAAGGAACAAAACAAAATATAATGTTTTTTGGTAATGACTTTGGGAAAAAATATATCAAATGCCAATTACTACCCTCACTCAAGATGATTTTAAACCTAATCCTCATTTTAAATCTAAGGTTCTGGCCCAGGATGTTTCCAATGACCACTAAAGTTGTAACTTTTTTTTGATGATGAACTTTACAATAAGAACACCATGACCATATCCAACCAAACACCTTTCTCTTATTCATGATCAACAGACCACTTTTAGGCTTTGAAAAATAACAAAGACTGATAATGAGAGCCTAGTTTTAGACCTTCAAAGCTCAAATTAAAACATCTAAAGCCATCTGCTAAGCTTCTAAGGCTAACTTCAACACATGGAAGACCAAGAAAGTCTCTTCTTCTTAAAAGCCCTTCCTCCACAGACTCTCTCTCTCAGAAGCCTAAAGGGAAAGTTACTCAAGACTTCACACATCGAATATAATCATCTCTGCACAGCAGCCCTTTGAGATATTTGTTAAGACACTGAGAAGTCTTTAATAAGTCTACTCCCTCTCCTATCCTGGGACAAGGCTACTAGGTATGAGCTTTGCTCTCTAAGCCCTAACAATCCTAGACCCAATTATGTCTAGGGCATTTTCTTTCTTTTTTATTGTATATACATTTTGAGAGATAAAGTCTCACTCTGTCACCCAGGCTGGAGTGCAACTGCAAGATCACAGCTCACTGCAGCTTTGAACTCTTGGACTCAAGCGATCCGAACCTTTGCCTCCTTCTTTATTTCTGTAGAGACAGGGTTTTGCTATGTTGTTCAGGCTGGTCTAAAACTCCTGGCCTTAAGTGATCCTCCCACCTCAGCTTCCTGAAGAGCTGGGATTATAGGCATGAGCCACTGTGCCCAGTCTAGGACATTTTCAATGAACTCTCACAAAAAATAAACTGAGGAATAGCAGTGAAATACTTACAAACTTACTATAAAATATGATGCCCAAAGTGCAATTCCTGAATTTCCCAGTCAGGCAGCAAATGAACTCCCTTCTAGGCCCCCATCAGCATTAAAAAGAGAAGCTTATGTGAGTGGCTATCTGGAATATAAACAAGTCAAAACACTGGGCCAGCGGGGTTCAATTTTGGATGGCAAGTTTGAGAAGAATTTGTATTGGTGACTTTTGAAGCAGTTCAGACAAATAAACGTGGGGACTTTTCAACTTCTAGTAGTAATGTGTCAGGTGAGTGAGTCTCTGGAATGGGCACTTGCCTGGAATGATTCTGTGGACTGCTAGATGAGCATTCTCTCTTTCTGCCAGAAGAAAGGCAAAGAGAAAAGAATACAACTAACACATTGATTTTCCAATTTGCCTGCAAACAGACTGGCTTTTGTTCTCGCCTGCTCTGACCACCAGCCTGGCAGATTACAGACAGCCACTGTAGGAGTCCCCTCTGTGCGCCTATGCCATCAGCTGTTTGCTCACCTCGACAGAAGCTTTATTATTGCCTAGGCCAGCAGGCTGTCAAGATAGGCAAACATGTGAGTATAGAAAAGAGAAACAAATATAATGCAAATAACCTCAACAAGGTTGTGCTCATGAAGGCTAAAGGTACTCTGAACTTTCAGCTTATAAAATGTGATTATACTTACAAAAATTCTAAGAAAATGTGTATTTCTTGGAGGAGCATAAGAGTGACGAAGTATACTCTCAAGTTCCAGCTCTAGTTCTAAAAGTTGGTTTCCCATGGCTAAAGAGATCTCTGTCCCCAGTGTTGAGTAGGATTTTCAGGTGAAGACAGAGCTTGCCTAGGAAGCCAAACCACGGCCAATCAAATAGCAGGAACTGAGAAGCTTCCTCTTCTCAAAACTCAGGCCATACTCAGAACTCTTAAGGGCCTCTTCCTGCACTGCTGCTCATTTAAGACTGATGTTACCAGGAAAGAAGGGGAGCAGAATCACAGGCTGCCAAACCAACATGGGAGTGAAAGTCTTGGATATTGCAGAGATTTCTTAGAAGGGAAGAGAGGTTATATAAAAGAGACCAAGAGTGAAAAGAAAAACACGAGAGACTGACTGTGATTATATAGGAGATACTTTATTGTGTGTAAAAGTCACATGGGATTTCTTGTTTAGGTCAGGAGTTTGAGACCAGTCAAGGCAACACAGCGAGACCCCGTCTACACACACACACACACACACACACACACACACACAGCACTCATAGCACACATACACACCAAAAAAAGGAAAGAAAAAAAAAAGTAAAATATATCCTTTCTTCCATGGGGTTGAAATAAAGGTTTTGTTATTGTTGAATGGCTAAAGTGGCAGTGCTCATCAGCTCTTTTGGTCTCACAAATAAAAATGCTTCAGGCTGGGCAGGCCCAATGCACAGATGCCAGAGCCTGGAGCCCAGCAGCTCACAGCTCCACCATTTAGCTGCAACACTGGCTCTTC